TAGAAGTTGATCAACTACTTTTAAACCATTTATTCCCAATTCCCACAAACCCTTGTCTTATGTAGCCTTCCACTTTAGAGAAACAGGCAAATGAAAAATAAAATACCAACAGTAAAATCATCAAAAATTTGTAGATTTAAAACAAGTTCAGAGCACTATCTCTTACTAGAATAGTTGAATGAGGGGCTGGGCTTGTGGCTCAGTGGTAGAGTACTTGCCTAGCATGTGTGAGGCACTGAGTTTGATGTTCAGCACCACATAAAATACATAAGTAAAATAAAGGCACTGTGTTCATCTATAACTAAATGTGTGTGTGTGTGTGTGTGTATTAGTACCAGAGAGGATAGAGCTACAGAAGGAAGGAATTCTTAACTATTCACATGAATCCCGTGAGTCTTTGGGTTGATACCAATCTGAGCATGCATGGGGGAAACCTCAGAAGGCCAGACAAAAACAGGTTCTGTGGAACAAACTACTGGGGAGCTGTGACAGGAACAATCTCAGAGCCCACATAGCTGGGAATCTTTGAGTTCTCCCCCGAGACCTTACTGAACCCAGAAGAATCCATAGAGACTACCAAAGATCTCAACTTAGAAGATGGACTAAATTAGCCCACTGTCTTCCAGCAAAGCGATCTTTAAMGTCTCAAACTAATCTTCAAGTAACCAACATCATCCTGCTATTTAAAGTCTGACACTTGGGGTTGGGGTTATAGCTCAAAGGTAGAGTGCTTGCCTCGCCCATGTGAGGCACTGGGTTCAATCCTCAGCACCACATAAAAAAATATTTAAAATAAATAAAGATACTGTGTCCATCTTTAATTTTTTTAAAAAAAATTCTGACTCTATTTTTAAAAAAAGAAATATAACAAAAGTATCACAACACAATATAAATTTCACAGTGTTCAGCATCTAATAAATGAGTAGACACAAGAAAACTAGAATATGCAAATTAATAAAAATAGAACAACAAATGACAGAAATGATGGAATTAACAAAAAAGGATGTTGAACGAAATTATATCTATGTACCATGAACTCAAGGATGTAGAGAAAGAATTAACATTTTCTTGGAAGATGAGATAGTAAATATTTTAAGGCATGTAGGAACCTATACTCTTTTCACAATGACTCAACTTTGTCAATATAGTGTGGTAGCAGCAGAGACAATGGGTATGTGTTATGGTTTGGATACAAAGTGCCCCCAAGAGACTCAAGTGTTGAAGGATTGGTTCCCCCAATGAAGCCATGTTCAGAAGTGGGATCTCTCTCTCCCCCCCACCCCAGCTGCCATGAGCTGAACAGCTTTCCCATGTCAAGCCCTCTCATCATGATATTCTGCCTYACCTAAGGCCCAAAGCAATGGCATGAGCAGACCATGTACTGAAACCTCTGAAACTATGAGCCCAAATAAATATTTTCTCATCTTAAGTTATCTATGTGAGGTATTTTGTCACTGCAATGAAAAGCTGATTAACACAGTATGACTGTGTTATCATAAAACCTTATTTATAAAACAGGTCCACAGCCTATAACTTGCTGACTGCTAATGGTGAGGAAAGTATTAGCATAATGAAGACAGAAAGTGGACAAAATAAAAATGATCAAATAACACTTTCTGAGATTAAGAAACATAACATATTAAATTTAAAAAATATACCAGATAAGATTCACATTAGATTAGATATGGCAGAAATATAGATTAGTGAAGTTGAAGATAACAAAAGAAGTTTAAACAAGATACATTATGGAAAGAAAAGACCSGGGAAAACAATAATAGGGTATCAGTGAGACACTTATCAAGCTGTCTAAAATTCTTCAGTTCAAAAGTAAAAAGAACATGGGATAGAAAATGTTTGGAAATACAAAAACTGAGAAAAATTCCAAACTTGTTAGTATAAATCCAAACATTCAGTAGCTTAAAAATACCCAAGCAGAATTAATGTGAAGAAAATAATAAGTAAAATATAATTGCTAAAAAAAACAGTGACAAGAAAATATGAAAACAACGCAAGAATAAAAGATGTACCATGTAAAAGGTGCAAAGATAAGAATAACAACAGACCTCTCAGAGAACCATGCATGTGCCCAAAGTTAATGAAGAGACCCTTTAAAGTCCTGCAAGGGGGTGGAACACTGTCAAGCCAGAATTCTACACCTAGTGAAAATATTGTTCAAACACGAAGGTGAAACAATAAATTTGCACACAGATGAACACCGGAAAAAATTAATCACCAGCAGCTTCGTGCTAAAAGAAATATTAAAGGAAAGTGATATCAGAGGAAAGTTTGGAGATGCCCAAAGAAATGACAAGTACCCCCGAATGGAAAATATGTGGAAAGGTATAAAATATATCTTTAATCTCTTTAGAAGAGAACTGACTCTATATAAAAAATAATAACAATGCATTGTGGGGTTTATAACAAGCAGAAGTAAAAGTTGTATGATGACAATAGCAGAAAGGCTAGGACACAAGAAGGGAAGCATACTGTTGGAAAATTATTATGCTCTCCTTAAAAGGATGTAATATTATTTGAAGGTAGAGTCAGATAAGTTAAGGTATGCAAATTGTTAATCCTAGAACAAACACTAAAAATAATAAAGCAAATATATATGGTTAAAAGATCAACAATGAAGATAAAATGGATTACTAAAAATTATCCACTATAAAAATTGCAGAAAAATATAGGGGAAATGGAAAAAAAGAACAGATAAAACAAATGGAAAACAAACAGCCAGGTGACAGATTTCAACCTACTGTATCAATAGTCATGTTAAATCAAATGAAAATAGTTAAAACATGCCAYGTAGAGGCAGAGATGGTTAGGCTGTATGAAAAGTAGCAAGCAAATCTAAGTCGTAATGGCTAAATCAATATGAGACAAGGCAGATTTATAAACAAAAACCAAAGGTGAAATAGGTCATTTTATAACGATGGAAGGACCAAGTCATCAAGYGGATTTAACAATTTCAAACATGTTTGCATCTAATAACGGAGCTTCAAACTCCAGAAAGCAAACACTGATAGAACTGAAAGGAAAAATACACAGGTTCACAATTATAGTTGGGTATCTTATCCCTTTTTTTAGTACCTAATGGAGCAGGTGAGCTAAATAAATAAATAAATAAATAAATAAATAAATAAATAAATAAATAAAAATAAGAGGAAATAGCCTAACTGACATCTGTAGAATACTTTGCCCACCATAAGCAAAGTACACTTTTTTTCAAGTACATTCCTCACCAAGTCCATATTCTGTGTCATAAAACTAGTCTCAATAAATTTAAAATAACCAAAATTATACATGTGTTCTTTTTCTACGAAGGAATTAAATCAGAAATCAAGAACAGAAAGTTGTCTTGAAAATCATCACCATAAATGTGGAAATCAAACAACACACATCTATACAACTCAGAGAACAAGAAAAAAATTCACAAGGGAAATGAGAACATATTTTGATTCAGGGAAAGCAATATTTTCTGAAAAAAAATTAATGGCTTGAAATGCCTGTATTAGTAAATAATAAAAGTTTAGTCCGTGTTCTAGGCTTTTAACCTAAGATACTAGAGAAGGAAAGGCAAATGAAGCCCAAAGCAAATAGAAARGTGGGAATAGTAGAAATAATAATAACAAAAAAATAAATACCAAATAAATAAATAAATACATAAATACAAATAATAAATAAAGAAATGTGTGAGGCCCTGGGTTTAGCTCTCAGCACCACATAGAAATAAATAAATGAAATAAACAAACAAACAAAAAAAAAAAAACCAAACCATTTACAACTAAAAATTTTTTGAAACAAATAAACAATTTTTAAAATATTCTTAGGGACCAAAAAATATCCCTACCCTTACACAATGCTCTCTTATTGCACATGGTTTGTTACTATCTGGTGAGATTTTCATCGCAAATACTGAAATTTTTTTTTCTTAAATTCTATTCAAACTTCCTTTGAAAATTCTAGCCTGTCTCAGGGAATAGGAGGAAAAAAAGAAGAAAAGAAACCTTTATCCGTGTTTGAGCTGACTATAAAGGACAGTCCATGTCCCTCAGGAGAAAGGCCAAATCCAGGGACTACTAAGGGGAAAAGGTCAAAGGTCCCACCCCGGGGAAGTCAGGGTCTGGAAGCACCAATTGCTCCTGACAGAGCCCCCACTGGTTCCACGAGAGCTGTCTTCAAGGGCTTCGTATTCTGTGAATGTGGACACAGGTGGAAAGTGATTACATCAGAGTAAAGCCGCCACTCTAGGCACAGTTTTTGCCAACATCACTCTGTTATAGGTTGAAATGTTCCTTCATTCCTACGTTGAAACCCTAACTTCCAGCACCTCCAAATGTAAATAGGGTCATTGCAGATGAAATTAGCTAAAATGTGATCATAGCAGACTAGGATTGGGTCCTAATTCAGTATGACTGCTGTCCCATAAAGAGGAGATTTGGAAACACACACACACACACACACACACACACACACACACACACACACACACACACACACACTGAAACAGGGAGGACACACGTGAAGATGAAGACAATGTTTCCACAAGCCAAGGAACACTGAAGAGTGTCACAAACCCACTAGGAGAGAGGCAGGGACAGATTCACCCTCACAGCCCTCAGAAGGAACCAATCTTCTTGATGCCTTGACTGAGTTCTTCCAACCTTTGGAACTGCAAGAAGACAAATTTCTGTTGGTTCAGTCACCCATTGGTGGTGACAAGTTCTTACATGCCATTAGTACCCAGGATCAAAGGGACTGACTGTAACTGACTGCCACCAGCCAACCTAGAAGCTGAATCCAGCAACTCCCTTCCTGCTAATTTAACCTGGACAGTGACTTCAGGAAATTCTAGAATGTTGTTGTCTCAACTGTGATAAGGAAAGGAAAACCAAGTGGGTGTAGAAGAAAAGGCATATCAATTTACCTTCTTATCTTCTGAATCTGAGATATTGGACCTTTCAAAAACTAGTTAATCATGGGGTTAGCTTCCATTGGGGAGTAAGGAGACAGAGATGCAGAGTTTTAGTAACAGTAGAGAAAGAATAATTAAGAAAGAAAACCCATATCTTGCAAAAGAGCAAAACAGTGCCCTTCAACCTTGTTATGTTTACTTTCTGTGTACCTTTCTATGTAAAAACAGTGAATTACATCATATTGAATTTTAGTGACTGGGCTGACTTATTATTTACCTGGAGTCTGACTGCAGATTTAAGAGCCTTCTTAACCTCAGAATCTCATTACCTGCAGATACTATTCTAGGCCTCCTCCTCAGCCCTCTGTAAACAACGAAGAGATGAGCACCAGTAGGCAAAAGTAAAGAAAGTGCATGCTTACCTCCATGCTTGTGCTGAATGCTCTAGTAACTTTTGCTTTGATGGTTATAACTTGTCCAACTCTAGCAAAAAAAAAATTTTTTTTCAGTAATCTAAACACATATTATTTCAGATTTAAAGACTCACTTAAATCTTTCATGTGCCATAAAGTATTTCCACCTTAGCTTGCTGTTAATGTTCACATGAAACATTCAGGTTCATGATAACAGGAAAAACAGGGCAAATGCTGATCATCATAAACCACACTCAGGTTAACTGACTCCCTCTATTCAAACAGAAAAAGGGCTTTGCAAAGGTAGAATGCAAGATGACTTCAAATTTGCAACAGATACTTGGACTTTTTAGAAGCTCTTTCAAGCTACTATACAAGTTAAGACAAATACACAGGCAAACTTATACAACTTATATTTATTTTAAAATGTTAATAACTAAATGGATGAACGAACTACAAATAAGCAAGCAAGTCCACTAGTTAATTTTGATAGATTTACATGTGTCCTCTTTGCTACTAGAAGAGCCGTTCATTCCCTGCTACTACTAAAACTCTGATCATGTAATTTGAAGTTGTTTCAAAACTCTTGTATTCAGGCCCTCTGTCACTTCTGATCCCTTCACCCTAGCAGAAGTTAAGAATCTGTCCAATATGAGCACCCTTGATTTTTCTCCCTTAAGTGCAAAATTGAACTATATTCTCAGTGTCTTCAGAGACTCCGAGACTCTTCTACTTCAGAGGAAGGAGAAGGTTTCCTCATGATCTGATCTCTTGTCTTACCTGTGCTCTTGACCTTTCCCTGCTCTGTCATTTCTACTCTCTTTTGAACCTTCCATCTCTACCCTTTTCTCTTTTTTACTCTTTGAAAATGTTTAAGGCTTCTCCTATTTAAAACCTTTCTTTAAAACCTATTTATTTTGATATTTTTTTTCTCTTCTGCATATGAAACTCTCCTAAAAGAATCATTGATGTTTTCTACCTCACACATTTAATGACTGTTTACTGAGGACTAGCCCTGGTGTTCAGCTAAGGTGTTAGGTACAGTGATGGGCAAGACTGGGTTATTGGCTTCAAGGAGACTAGTGTTTCTTTCAGACACAGATGTGTAAACAGACAAAGTTCAAAAGATTATAAAAGACTGATCAATAAATCATTAACAATAAAAGCCCTTGTCATTAATTAAACAAAGTACTGTTTCTAGTGTGGCCATTGTAGTAACTATGACTGTCCTTTATTAGTACTATGTGTAAACAAATGCTTTGTATAATATCTGATATGTCACTCACTGGCAAGGACCCTGTGAGGGAAGTAGTACTGTTCCCATTTCATTCCCATCAGAAAATGGGCTTACAAGGCAATGGAGTCAGCAAAAGGCAGAGYCAGAGTTCAAACCCTGGTTTTATCTGACTTCAAAGGCTTGAACTATTCTTTACCAAGGCCCGACTTAGGCTCTTGGTAAAGAATAGTTATTAATTCCATTTTAACAGAATTAATTTAATCACCTCTAGAGAGGCTTGTGAAGATATATTAAGGACTATCTCCAAAGTGAATCAGTTGGGTTTGCCTAGAAGAGTGACCACATCTGATTAATGCCTTTGTGTAAACATTGCTTCTCTACGTAGTGTACCTGTCATAATCTGTAGCATTTCAATCAGAAAGACTGGAAGTAAAGGAAGGAACTTAACATAGACATGCAGATGTATATTTAAGTAATTAATAACTATGTGGGAAATCTGAAAAAATCTATGCTTTTATCACAATTTTACTAGTCCTTTGCCCACATAATAATCCTCACAGAGAAGAATTTGTCAATGTCTAATAAAATGAAATGTACCTTTACCCTTTGACTCAGTAATCCTCTTTTTAGGACTCTATCCCAAAAATACACTGTAAAATCATGGACATATGCCTGCACAAAACGACATTTTGAAATATTTGTAATAGCAAAAACTGGAAACAATTTTAAAATTTATCAGTAGGGACCAGAGGAAAAAAATAGGGCGTCTACACAATGAACTACCATGTAGCTAATTACAAGGAATTCTGAATATTTCTGTACATTGCTACAGAGTGTTTTTCTATATATAATATTGAGACAAAAAGGTGGAGAAAAGTATATACAATGTGTTAGAATTTGTTTTTAAAAGGACATGAATATATGTAAATACTTGTTTACATTTAAAAATTTTTTAAAAGTCAGAAAGTAATTAAAATGGCTATTTATAGAAAGAGAAAGGTGCTTGGAAAGAAGCTAGATAAGAGCTTAATTTCCCAGAACCAAATGTATCTGGTTTCRAATTAAATTATGAATTAAAATAAAAAATTAATTCCAAAAATAAAAAACAATTGAACTTGTCTACATGTGAAGTTGGCAATTTAACCATGTAGGAGAGAATTATTTCAAGTGGCTTCAAAATACAGTGATTGTTGTTATATTACTATGTCTTTCAAAAGTGTACTGATCTTTTAGAAATATATACTGATAATTATAGATAATGACTGGAGTTTGCTTCAGAATAACCCAGTCATGTAGGGAAACATAGAAGGGTACAAGAGTGTGCAAGATTTGATTATTGATGTAGTTAGGAGATAAGTCCTTGGGATACACTATACAATTTTCTCTAATTTTACATATGTTTGAATTATTTGTTTACTTGAAATTTTCTGCATAATGAGTTGGTAAAGCATATTAAGCACTCGCACACATAAAATGTTTTTCATATTTTACTGTCTCTATTCAGATGAATTAGTGTTTAGCCAACCTAATGACGAAATTCACCATTGTAGAGACACTTACCATCATTAATTATTCTATAAGTAGAGAAAGGAGCCATTAAGAGTCAGGTGCCAGATAGCTTGCTATGTATGACTCCACGATGCATCTCATGCTGAGAGTTGCTTCTCAACAAAATCGTGAATGGGATTTTACACCTACAGTGTTGACTAAAGGTAGGCCCGATGATTGTGTCTTTTACTCACTTAGATTGAGTAAAATGTCATTTGTTTTATTAATAGGATCATGGACCCCAAACAAATAAGGTGCCACAAATATATGTCACAACCAACATAATAAACCTGGGAGAAAAGTGAAAGAGTAATATCACTTACTTAACTGTTTCCTCAAATTGAATGTCATCCACTGAGGCTGTGACACAGGAAACTCCGGCATGTTTTTCAGCTTCAAAAAAAAAAAAAAATAGGTAAACGTGTTTGTTAGTAATAGTTATGTTTGGATATTTCAATTCATCTTAAGAGAAAAGGAATTAAATTTCAGTAGATTTATTTAATTTACCCATTCACTCATTCAGTAGAACACCACTGTGCCCACACTTTCTGGATGATGTCAGTTATGAGAGTTTCTGTGTTCTTTAAGTTATGCTTTTATTGCATGGCAATTACTATACTTTCTCCTAATTTTTTCCCCAGTTCTGGGGACTGAATTCAGTGTTTCAGGCATGCTATGTAAGCATTCTCAGCCATACCCCCAGACTTTCTTATTTTATTTTGAGACTGGGTTTCACTACATTGCCCAGGATGGCTTTGAACTTGCAATCCTCCTGCCTCAACCTGCTGAGTAGCTGGAATTATAGCCATGCCATTGTGCCTGGCTACTTTCTCCTAAATTTTAACTTACTTGAGCTTTGCTTTAAATTTCAATACCAATATTCAGAAAATCTGGCAATTATAGATAACATTTTTTAGGAAGTTGTCACTGACTTTATTTTGTCAGGAAATATGCTTCTTTTGCTTTTAAAACAACACACCAAAGTTATTTCTATTGCAGTTGAAAGTATTTAAATCACTTTAACCACTATAAGTGTGGGAGACCCTGACATCATCTTCTAAATCACAGATGCACCAGAAACAGATGGTGCATGGATGGGAACAAGGAGGTATTTAGTCAATATTTATTATTTTTACCAACTTCACACCAAATTCACTCTGCATTAATTATGTTGGAGGGGAGAGTATTGAGCAGGGTGAAGAGTTTATCAGCTCCTCAACTTAATGTTCCATATCAGCACTTAATTTATTCAGAATATTTTTGGATCGTTGGTTTTGCTTTATATGAAAATACAATAATTTATATTATTTGGAAAATAAAATTTTTTTCCTAAAATATTCTTAGTTGCAGATGGACACAATACCTTTATTTTATTTATTTATTTTTTATATGGTGCTGAGAATCTAACCCAATGCCTCACAAATGCAAGGCAAGTGCTCTATCACTGAGCTACAACCCTAGTCCCCCATAGGTGTCCTTTTACAGTTTTTCAGATAACTACTGAACACTTTCAAATATACGTTGTAAAACACTGACTAAAAAGTATCCCAAAACATTCATTTCAGTTGACTAACATAAGAAAATGGGATATTGATGTAATTAAACTACCCGTATTAATAAATTTTTATTAATTGAGTTGCCAATTTTGAATGATTTAAATGACAACTAAAATGCAGTAACCAATAAAATATTAATTTTTATTATGTCTATTAGAATCTACAGTTTGTCACAGCACTATACTAGATCAAGAAGAAACATAAACAGAGAAACAGCTAACATTTACTAAGTACTGAGCTAAGTATTTACACTTGTCAATCACAAGTCTGGTTCTGTTTTATAAATTAGGACATTTAGGCTTAAAAGATTAAACATGTTGTTCTAAATAGTGATTTTTTGACTACAACAGTAATAGAAACTCTCAGAAAAGAGTAGGGTAGACCAAACAGAGAATGCTACTAAAGAACTTGGCTGAAAATGGGCCTCAATAGCCACAGTTTATGCTACAGATTTTTAAGAACCATAAAATAATAAGAAAGAATAAAAAATATGGAGGACCAACATTGGGTCCACAAATTTTGCTTGTGACCAGCTTATTCTGGTTCTGAAACAGTAGCTTTAAAATTCATTTCAGTAGTCACATCATGCACTCAGTTGCCTTGGAAACAGGCACCATTATTACTAGCAACTTCAAGGATTTTAATACTCATTTCTTTTTCTTACATGCAGATTAACTTCATATTCATGTTCCCATTATTATGTTATTATAACCAAAACTCAAATCCTGTTAAAAACTGTTAAGACAGAAACCAAACAGATTAGCAAACAAAGCAAACAAATAGATTGGCTTCAAATATATAGCTGAGTTTTGCAGGTGGTTAAGACAAGAGGTATTAGAAACTCTGTTAACACTAAGAAAAGCAGAGTTTCTTAATCATCTGAGTTTTGCTGTCATCATCTGTAAAATAAGGGCCCTGAAACACATGATGTTTAAAGCCACTTCCAACTCTAATATTTTATCTTCACATATATTGTTTTAAAATGTCTATTTTCTAAGTCTCAGGTTTCACATATAAACTCTGGATTCCTCTTGGACTTGAGAACTCAAGTTGTAGGACCATCCAGATAACCAGAAGGCTTTTAGTGAGCACTAAGTAGTGGAGAACTAGCTTAGTTTATGTGACAATTGGCCAGCCCAAAAATAAAGACGTGAACAAACAAATAGACTAAATAGTTAGATTGTGCTAAGTGTTATGAAGGAAGTTGGACAGGGCGTTGTAAGTAAAGTGATGAATGGGTACAGAAGTAAACAGGTGAGCAGGAAAGTCTTCTCTGAGGAAATGACATTTAAGCTGAGATGTAATGCATGGAAAGGTCCAAGAATAGAGAGTAAATGCAAAGATAAAAGCATGAAATTATGGCATTTGCCAGTAAATGGATGGAGCTGGAGAATATTATGCTAAGTGAAATAAGCCAATCCCAAAGGCCAAATGTTTTCTCTGATATACAGATACTAACTCACAATGGGTGGGGGTGGCTAGGGAAGAATAGAGATGCTTTGTATTAACAGAGGGGAATGAAGGGAGGGGAGGGGGTATGGGGATATGAAGGATAGTAGAATGAATCAGACATTATTACCCTATATGCATATATGATTAGATGACTGGTGTAACTCTACATTGTGTACAACAAGAGAATGAGGAGTTATACTCCATTTATGTATGATGTATCAAAATGCATTATTTTGTCATATAAAACTAATCAGGACAATTAAAAAATTATTTTAAAAAAGAGAAGAGCAAATGCAAAGTCCTAAGAAAAGAAAAGGTGAGTATGTCCTGGGAAATGTGGAAGCCTAGTATTGCTGGATCCTATGAACTAGGAGGAKATTGGTACCAAACAAATGGGAGACAGGAACTATACCCGTGGCCCCAGTCCATGATATAAGGTTTGTCTGAGCAGCATAATGTTATACTTTTTCTTGGTGTTAATGTACTTTGGTGGGGGATCCTACAGATTACCAGGTAACCACCACTCTCTCCCTGAAGTCCTAAGCTGGACTCAGACTCATCTTACATTTATGGTTACTTGGCTGGCTCCAATGTGAATTTCCAACTTCAGCTAGCATCTATAAAGAACGACAAACGGTTTGGGTTTCACCTCAAGTGTGATGAGAGGACACTGAAAGGTTCTAAGCTGGGGAGTGGTAGGATGTGATCCCTACACCTAAAGTCCACTCTAACCTCTGTACAGAGAATAGGTCTCAGGGAGGTCAGATGGAGAAAGGGAAGCCAAAGGAAGTTTTACAGGAGTGCCGGCTTTTTGGTACTAAAGATTGTGTTCATCAGGAATGGGGCTGTGGCTCAGCTGTAGAGTGTTCGCCTAGCATGTGCAAGGCGCTGGGTTTGATTCTCAGTACCTCATAAAAAATAAATGAATAAGTAAAATAAAGGTATTGTGTCCAACTAAAACTAAAACAAAAATTTWAAAAAAATTGTGTTTATCACTGATCTGAAGATGGGAGAAGTCAGCAGGCAGAGAAGACCAACTTCTCAAAAAATACTGCCTCACCCAGCCTTTCCATTAGAACATCATTTACATTATAACCTGCTATTTTTGAAAATGGAGTCTTTTTCCCTAGACATAAGTATTAGGCAGGTTCTCAGTGGTCTGGAAGAGATTCAGCGGTCAAAACTATTTTCATGGGGCTGGGGTTGTAGTTCAGCAGTAGAGCACTCACCTAGCATGCTTAAGGCCCTGGTTCAATCCTTAGAACCACATAAAAATAAATAAATAAAATAAAGGTATTGTGACCACCTACAACTAAAAACTCTTTTCATAATAATACTAAGAGGTTTTACTTTGTCTGCTTGAGTTAAGACCAAATACCATATACTGGGTGTCTTAAACAATAGAAATTTCTCATAGGTCTGTAGGCTGTGAAGTCTAAGCTTGCCACTTAGGTCCTAGAGGGGCTCTCCTCCTGGCTTGCAGATATCTGCCTTCTTGCTGTGGTCTCACATGTCAGAGACCAAGCTATCCATTTCTAAGCCTATATGAACATTAAACCTATGGGATCAGGACTCCACTCATATGACCTTATTTAACCTTAATTACTTTTTATGCAAATACAGCCACACTGGGGGTTAGAGCTTCAACACATTAATTTTGGGGAAGGGGAAGGGCACCATTCAGTCCACAGTAGATGTATTGCCATCCTCATTCTCTCAGAAGAATACAGCAGAGTCTTCCAGTGACTACATAATAATGTGTTAGCAACAAATTGAACAGCAGAAAGAAATCTGATAAGTGAGCAGTCCTCTACTAAACCAAACATTAAAACAATTTGCAAAAGTGCAAACTATTACCACTCTTTTAAGTACAGTTTTGGTACTGTTGAACGTAATGAAGTTTTCTTTTTAAATGAATTAAATCTGTTGCATTTTCTGTAAGGTAAATATGGATAGAAGTAACCTATTACACGCACATTTCTCACTCATTCCTTCATGGGATGAAGGAACCCTAAATCCAAAGCGTCTAGGTCATTGTCAGGTGAACTATCTTAGTCATCACTACCCCTGACTGCACAGGTCTCACAGCTCGGTAAAGTTGGATCCTCCCCTTCCTTCTTCTCAGGCTGTTCCCTGGCTCCCACATCTCGGGCCAACCTGCATCCCCACAAGCCAACGCAACCCATGGCCAGCTCTCCACTCCACTGCACTCTGGATCCCGCACCACCACCGTCCCTCGCCACCCTTGGCCTCCAGTGCATCGCGGCGCACAGACGTCCAGGAGCCCGCCCGGCAGCCGCCGGCTCCCCTCGGCCGCCCGGCCCCGGCGCCTACCGGCCAGGCAGGCGGTGGTGTCAATCCACTTGAGCAGCTGCCCGGCGCTCAGCTCCCCGCGGGCGTTGGCGTGCGCCGGCTGGATGGCCTGGCTCATGCGCACCTCGCCCGGCGCCGCCAGCCGCTCCATGTCCAGGCCGAGAGAGGGGAGCCCCCKGCCCGGGGCGCCTGGCCTGGAGGTGTCCGCCCGCCGGGCCCGCCCCCGTTCCAAAGGGCGCCGCCCGCCCTGGTGGCGAACCCACTCCCACTCCCCCGCAGCCAGGTGCTTCGGGAGGTGAGAGTTCAGGTGCTGGCAGCCCGGAGGGCGAAGGAGCACGCTCTTCTGCCTAGGAAGAAGCCGGGGAACCGTCGGATCTCTCCGGAGAGAAAAGTGCTTCTCTCTCTGAGAACCGTGCGTAGAATTTAGTGAGAGAGCGCGGGGAAGTGGGCACCTACCTGGCTAAAGGAGTATAGGTATTTACTAAGCAAATAAATACAGTGATCGTCTGTCTGCAGAACTTGACAGGCGAGGAGGCAATAAATAGTGATTAAATCCTCTCCAGAGAATGGCTAAAGCAAACTGATTTAAGAGTGCTTCACTTTCGTTATTTGTTTGGTTGGGTTTTGCTTGCTGCTTGCCAGGCCACATAGGCRCTCACTGTTTAAGTCCTAGTTCAAAATCCACCTTCTGACTCTTAGGATATTATAGTGGATCCAAAGATCATTTGTTAGGAAATGGTTTCCTCTGCTAAACAAACCGAGTCAAAGGGGCGGGGGCTCAGGGAGGCTGAGGCTTGGAGGTGGATCAGAGTCACTTAAAAAGAAAAGGTTTGTTTTGGGTTTCATCTAGAGTTTAAAACTGGAGACTTCCCATCTTGTTAGGAATAGTCCCCACGCTTCCCAAAAAGAATCTGAATCTTTTTTTTTTTTTTTTTAAACCGGGGGATAAACCCCAGATGAGAGTTTTTCATGCTCAGCAACGAAAGTTGTTACACTTAGTAGARCTGCAATCACTGATGTTACAGAGCGGTTCTCACAAGAGAAACCATGACCTCAGAAAACCTCCAGCATATACTAGATCTATGGATGTTTCATTGTTAGGGCAGGCTGTTATGGGGAGCATATTTAGTGATGAAGAAATGGATGTTTGGAGAAGGAGGCAAAGGGTCTGACATGCGGCTAAGGGGGTAGGACCACCTGACTTCCTAGGGAGTTTACCAAGAAATCTAATGGCCTTTAATGACTAGGTGGTGCTTTTTCATCCTCATATCTCTAGGCTGCCAAGCCCCAGCATGGAAAGAGCGAAATGAAGATTCTGATAATTGCACTTCATATATATGTGTGTGTGTGTGTATATATATATATATATATATATATATATGTATATATATACATATATATAATTCAATATATATATAAAATTCAATATATATATAATTTATATGTATATATATTCATATATATATGAATGAGAGAAAATAAAGAAACATTGACTCAATAGTTTTAGAATTTTCCTAGCCCTTATAAGCATAAATAAAAATGTGATGCATTCCATTAGGTAAGTATAAAGCTTGGCTTTTATAAAATGCATAAAAATGACTATTTGGCATGAGTATGGGGGATGGGTTCTCCCGGATTACTCAGACGAGGCTCAAACTCATGATCTTCCCACCTCAGCCTCCTGAGTAGCTGGAATTACAATCTACTGTGCCCTGCTAAAAATAACTCCTTAAAAAATAAAGGGGGCCTGGGTTGTGGCTCAGTGGAAGAGTACTTGCCAAGCATACATGAGGCACTGTCTTCGATCTCGGCACCACATAAAAATAAAAATAAAAACAAGATAAAGGTATTGTGTCCATCTACAACTAAAAAAAAAATATTTAAAAAAATAAATTAAAGGGGTTGGGGTTGTAGTTCAATGGTAGAGTGTTTTTCTTGCTCTTGAATGTGTGAGGCCCTGGGTTCCATCTTCAGTACCACATAAAGATAAATAAATAAAATAAAGGTATTGTATCCATCTACAACTACAAAAACATATTTAAAAAAATAGATTAGAGGCTGGGGCTGGGGCTCAGCAGCAGTGCACCTGCCTGGTGTGAGTGAGGCACTGGGTTTGATTCTTAGCACTGCATGTAAATAAATAAAAYAAAGGTATATCAACAACTAAAAACATATTTTAAAATTAATAAATAAATTAATTAAAGCTTCTGCATCCCAGATAGTCCTCTTTTGTAACTATATTCATTTCAATAATAATGTTATCATATTGATAGTTTGTTTGGCAATTCTCTTGGAAAATCAGAAAATACCTGTAGAATTCTTAATATCTTTTTTTCAATATCTTCTGTATTGACAAATCAACATGATTTAGGAATTGGTAGATTGGATTGTTGTTCATCACATAGTCCATCTACTGATAACTCCATAGAAGGAATTTATTGRTGGTGGACTTGGCCAGGAGACTTACCCTGGGCTGGAAGGTGGGGAGGTAACAGTGTATCAGTTCTAAGCCTTGCCCTTAGAGGAACCATGTCTTTCTGTTCTCAGGATCATCTGACTTCTGCCATAAGAAGATTGTAAACCTAATTAGTAGCCTGTTGGCATCTGACTGAATTCACATAGTGGTGAGCCATTCCTGTCGATCTGCAGATAGGTAGATTTATGAATGAGAGATAACTACAGTTGTGTGCCACTGTGATATTTAGGGTTGTCTGTTACACAGTAATAATTGACAGTTACACAAGTAAATTTTATTGTTTAATATTTTAAGAAATTTATTAAATTATTGGAAATAAAGCTTATGTTTAGGCTAAGCTGTATTATTAATTAGTAAAAAGGGGTGACTGAAAAACTGAAGTGTATACTTCAATATTGAATTATGTGTATGCTGTTATACTTGATTTCTTAAAATTCAGAAATTTCAAAAATGTTTAAGCATAGGTGTAAGAAGGTAGATTTCCAAAGTGATTATTTGAAAGGGGATAGTATGTATCTGTATATGTGTGTCTAGAGATGACTGATTGATCAAAAAGCAGACCCAGTGTATACAAACTCATGATTATATTTTCTTATCTTTATTATCTTCTGTTGATATGTCTTTTGATTATAGCTTCATCTCTTTTGTTGGCTTCATACTGATTTTCACTTTAATAGCCCCTGCCAGAAACTACTGTTTTTGTATTTTTCTGAATGGTGTTTCTCTCCCTTTCACATGAAAATGTAAAAAAATGTCATCTACATGTGTGAACATTTGCTAGCTCCACTTCTCTCTGATGTCAAGGATTTTTGTTATTATGTTAGAAGAAAAGGCCTCCRTTTTCCACTTGTGTTCAGAGACATCTTTGAATGTGAGCAGAATGTGAAGCGAGCCTGATTTTAAAAGGTCATGCACAAGAGTAGGAAAACTTATCAAGCAGAGAAGCCAAAGTTCCATAATTGCTAAAATAATGAGGAAGTCTTCAGAGTGTTATAATGGGAAAGGAAGCTGGACATCCCAAACCCTCATCCGAATTCGGGGAAATTGTGTCTKCCCTGGCTCAGCAGGTAGGGACGGGTCTTGTGAAAACTAAGAGCACAGAATACAAGAAGTGAGATAGGAAAACAACTCTTTCCAGATGCAGACTCCTGAATAAGAATTTGGGAACTAGCAGTTTATTCGAGGGGAACTTCAGAAGGTCCTGGTAGAGTCACCAAGTGAGGTCCCCAGGTTTGCAGCATGGGCATCRCCTGGAAGCTTGTTGGAGATGCAGAAGCTGGGGTTTTTCCTCTGGCTTGAATCCCCCACTGATGAAGGGTTGCTCTCAGACACTTAAAGTCCCAGGACTTCTGCTGACTGCTAGGCAAGATCTAGCTCTCAGGTGGCACTTGCCCTTGGCAGGGAAGGAGGATACTTTCAACTTGCACTTGGGCATGCAGTGGAGATTGCCAAAGCCCTGTGGACAGGCACGGAGAGCTGAATACTCACCCTKCCCTGAACTGAGCGGCAGCTGGGAGCCTTTTCATTGTAGGAGACAAATCCCAGGCAGAGAGTTTGGTCGCTCGGGGTATTTCATACAGTGATTAGCTTTATTAACAATCAGACTGTCTCCACCTTTGATATGAAAAGTACCAGGTCAATGTTTTCAAATACAATTTCATAAGAATATGATTCAAAGTTATAGAGAGCTCCTGAGTAAAAATTGCAGAACTTGTTTTCTTATGTTTGTGCTGCCAAATTCTTGATTAGAATGTCTCCTACTCTTCTCTACCCTGGACCCTGCTCAAGKGATGATGACTCTGACCTTGGAGCATGTGGATACCGTGCTTGCACTGTTTCATTTAGCGCCTGGATCCTCAGGTTGACCTTTCTCCCATTTGACTCTGGACATTCAGACTCACCTAATGTGTGTGGAGTGTAATACTTTGTTTTGTTTGAACAAAAGCCATGTATAAYGGAGTTTAATTTTCTTTTTATCTCCTCAGATTTGCATGATCCCACAGGCCCTTGACCAATGCTCAGGGGAGTCCCCCTGACTGCCACCACTACTGCCATCATTGATTGTTTTCAAATACTGTATCCCATTTTGTCATGACATATAGTTCTTTCATGTACTGCTGATTTTTTCTTCCTAATATTTTGTTGAAGATTTTGACAACAACATTTTTGAGATATATTGGTCTGTAGATGTTCCCCATCCCTCCCTGCCTCTCTCCCTCCCCCTCTCCCTCTCTCTCTCTCTCTCCCTCACCCTTTCCTTCCCTCCCTCCTTTGAACTGTCTTTGTATGGTTTTTGTGTCAGGTTCATAAAATGAGCTGGGAAGTGCTCCCCCTCAGTATTCTGGAGGAGATTGTGTAGATTTGATATCCTTTAAACAACTATCTGAACCCTGGAGATTCCATTTTTGGAAATTTTAAAATTATGGAATCATTTAAAAAAATATTTATTGGGCTACTCAAATTATCTAGTTCAATCTGGGGTGATTCGTGGTCATGTCTGGTTTGGCCCGCTTTATATTGAGAAGGTGATTTGCTATAGGCAGAGCTGAGCTCTAGTCTGACTTGGTGCCATTCTCCCACTTGGCAGAGCGGTCTCATCTCAACTTGGTCCTGACAGTTCTCACTTCCTGCCCCTGATCTCTCTGGTYTCTAGACCACAGGTTTTCTTGCTTTCT